AGAAAAGGCAAAGAAAAGGCTTTCACAGCGCCGATAGCATTGCTTACCTCTCTGAAGCCTAGTGGTGGATGGGAGTCCTCACTAATTTTGTTTTCTATCTTACATACATATTATACGTATGAAATATTATAATTTCAGAAAGTACTATAATATGTGAATAAACATCAACATCACTTTCCTTTGTTTTGACTGTGGTACCTAGTTGACAAAAAGGGTCTAACTCAAGTACTTGGTAATCAGTATTTAGTGCATGAACAATAAAATTTCATTTCAGTGTCAGACATTCCAGTGTCTTCCACTGGTTTTACCATTGTAGGGATTCCACGAGGTGTCTGACAATACAGCCGGACCATCCTTATATCCGCCAAATACTTCAGAGAATTGCACAGTGAGATTCTGGAACAGTAAGAAACAATTTGGCTTCATTTTTGCTTCACTGCAAATTTCTACATGAAAAATCATTTGAAACCAGGCTTTTGTTTTAAAGCAGTAGGTACGGAGGGTGGCTCGGTGGCTCAGCTGTTAGGCCTCTGCCTTTGGCTCAGGTCATGATCCCGGAGTCCTGGGATGGAGCCCTGCATTGGGCTCCCTGCTTAGCAGGAAGCCGCCTTCTCCCTCTCCCACTCCCCGTGCTTGTGTGCCCTCTCTTGTCTCTCTGTCAAATAAATAATCAAAATCTTAAAAAAAAAAAAAAATGCAGTAGGTACACGGTGCCTGGGCGGCTCAGTTTGTTAAGTGTCTGCCTTAGGCTCAAGTCGTGATCCCAGGGTCCTGGGATCAAGTCTTGTCTTCCTTCCTTCCTTCCTTCCTTCATTCCTTTCAGTAATTTCTACCTGCCCAAGGTGGGGCTTGAACTCATGATGCCAAGATCAAGAGTTCCTTGTGCACGCTCTTCCCAGGAGCCAGCTAGATGCTCCTTTTTTTTTTTTTTTAAGATTTTATTTATTTATTTGACAGAGAGAGATCACAAGTAGACAGAGAGGCAGGCAGAGAGAGGGAGAGAAGCAGGCTCCCCGCTGAGCAGAGAGCCCGATGTGGGACTCGATCCCAGGACCCCGAGATCATGACCCGAGCAGAAGGCAGTGGATTAAACCACTGAGCCACCCAGGCGCCCCTAGATGCTCCTTTTTATACCATTTCACTTTACACTGTTTGTATTCTGTGACCAGACTTCTCGACCAAAATTATGCTTGTGAGATTCAATCGTACTGATAAACATAGCTCCAACTCACTTCTTTTCCCTGCGGTAGAGTGTCCCATCGATGAGTATGTGGTTTTTGCCTCAGCATATGTAAAACATATAAAATGATTAACTCTCTCTCCCTTTTTTTAAAAGGAACTACCCTTCTTTCTTTTTTCTTTTTTTTTTTAAAGATTTTATTTATTTTTATTTGACAGACAGAGATCACAAGTAGGCAGAGAGGCAGACAGAGAGAGAGGAAGGGAAGCAGGCTCCCTGCTGAGCAGAGAACCTGATGCGGGGCTCGATCCCAGGACCCTGGGATCATGACCTGAGCCAAAGGCAGAGGCCTCAACCCACTGAGC